AAATAAAGATTCATGTTAGTTAAGTTTTGATATAAGGAAAAGGTATGAACTTTTGAAGCTCCAGGAAACATTCACAGTAAGGGAAAATAAATGAACAAAGAAACAAAGGTGGACAACTACTAGTTGTACCGTTACTATTTACTACTATTACTAAAGTTAATTACAACTAATATTTACTAAATATGAGATCAAGATAATTGGTTTATATTTAATTTTCACAATTATCTGAGGTAGGCACTATGGATATCCCAATTTGATAGGGCAACTGACATAACTTAGCAAAGACAGGTGCCAGACTCAGTCTACTGGGTTACCATAGCCCACATTCTGAGCTCTACTGAAATAAGTTTAAAGTAACTGATAGAAGTCTAGATAGAAAACCTCCAGTACTGAGCTGAGTTTAAATTCAAGAGGATGCAGCAGTCATGAAGACATACCAGAAAAAATGACAGGGCAGGAAATGTGCCAAGGAGAACAGATTTATAAGTCATTCTTTTGACTCTTACGATAGGGCAATATGCTACTACTATAGCCTGACAAAGTGAAGTTCTGATAGTCAGGGACAACTACAACCAAATATCAACCAAGCCCCGAATCACTCACACAATCACATTATTAATGTTTTAATGTTCCACTCTGAAAAGGAAAAGCTATGAAAGAAAATTATAAAGGGTTGGATATAGCACAAGTGTAGTGATAAGTAAAAGAATGGATTTACACAAACGTGAATATAATCTAAAGCAAAGACTACAGATAAGACATGAAAGATAAAAATGACAGCCAAATAAAAAAGAAAAAGAAAAAAAAAAGTTGAGGCCAGAGTATCATAACTTTTACCAGGTTAAAACCTTCATGTTGTTTTTACTAAAAACTAGTTGAAAATGAATATTAATAAAACATGAAACTATTCAAGAATTAGTCTCAAGAACATAATATGTGAAAAAAGCAAGAAGAAACCACAAATAGTTTTGAAATACAAATGTAAGTGGTAACTATAAAGAAAAGCAAGGGAATTATAAATACAGAATTTAGATATTGTTTCACTTTGAGGGGCTCCTGAAGGTTATAGGATCAAGAAGGCGAACAGAGGCTTTCAAAAGCTATGTTGTCTTATTTCTTTAAATGGATAATGGATTAACAAGAGTACTTGTACTGCTAATCTTTACTCTTAAGTGTTATATAAACACTC